AAAACAAATACCCAGACACTTCCAGCAGTACTCTAAGTTCCCACCTCGCCTGATAAACGTACATAGTACATAGCATTAACATGTATGGTAGAGTGAGCTTACACCACAGGCCCCCTCTGAGGTCAAGACTTTCAGACAAATGTGAAGTATAGCGTGAACTGCCAGGACAGATAGTATGAAATAACGGACACCTTTGACCCACACCGTCTGTGCTGGACATTCCCACGTATATAGTACGTGCCGTGTCTGAGGTTTGCCTTCAGACATAATTTACAAGCAAGAATCTTTTCAGGAAATGTAGGACTATACTCAAATGAATGGCTGTCGGGTTACTGAATGTCCCTGGCTCGTGAAGTCATCTAAATCAACCGAATACGATGTTTGGGATTAAGTCTTGAGACTGGATTATGAACAGCTGGAAAAGTTGCCAGCACGATGACTATGATCACGGGAGTCATCACATCAATTAACTTCACTGCCAACTAGAGCTGTGACGATATATCGTAGTATCGATAATCGTGATACTTTTTCTGACAATAAATAAATCGATACTCTTTTTCGTATCGTGATATGTATCGTTGACCTTAAAATTGTGATGTTTCACTAGAAATTGACGGTTATGTCAAGATTTATAAGTTACTTGTTATCAAAATACACCTTTTTAAAGAAAATAACTAAAGATAGCATATCGTGATATGCATCGTATCGAATCGTATCGTTTGAAGATATGGCGATACATATCGTATCGTGAAATTTCTGTATCGTCACACCTCTACTGCCAACTACGGGTTCCGGCTAGGAATAGGTCCATAGCAATCTTGTCGCCAACATACAACTTTATATCAGGTTGTCGCGTTATAGTATCGGATGTTCTTAATATCAATCACGTGTTGGAGTAGACTCTATTATTTAAGTCTTCCCAGATTCAGCTTCAGCGTGGAGTTAAACAACACACAAAACGATTTTCTCCAAATCATTGTTGCGCGGATACATTAGTATAACTATCTTTGTATTTGTAAGGATGGTATGAAAACAAGGCACACACAACGATAAATGAATTTACGGATGCTTTCATTTGCTCAGGGGCGGTGGGGTAGCCTAGTGGTTAAAGCGTTCGCTCGTCACGCCGAAAGCCCGGGTTCGATTCCCCACATGTGAAGCCCATTTCTGGTGTCTCCCGCCGTGATAATGCTGGAATATTGCTAAAAGCGGCGTAAAACACACTCACTCACTCATTTGCTCATGTTACACCGATAACAACTACTGTCATTACTGATATTGAAGCCGGGAAGCGGCGCGGTAGGGAAGTGGTTAAGCACCCATTACTGATGTCCTTCGCCAAAAGTGGCGTAAAACCATACTCACTCACTCAATGAAGAATGATGAATTTTTTTATGGATATGCAAGTTCTTTTATTCGGAGAAGGGCGACGTTTCGACATAGATTCTAATGTCGTTGTCAAGCAACGTTGTCAAGCAAGCGACATTAAGAATCTATGTCGAAACGTCGCCCTTCACAGAATAAAAGAAGTTGTGTATCTATAAAAATTGTCATCATTCTTCATCAACTCAACTAAACTGCCCATCAAAAAAGTCGTTCAGTGAAGCCGGGAATTCACGGGTGGCAGAATTCTGTAAGGCTCAATAATTTGCTGTGAAGAGTTGCGTCCCTTGGACACAAAAAGCCATGGTTTGGAATCTTTGACCGCCTCGACTACGTGTCTAGGTTTGTCAGATGTGCTCGTTGGTTTCACTAAACAAGTAGACCTTCCAGATGTGGACATATTAAACAGACGCACCATGACCGGAGTACTGTTAAAAGTGACCTTAGTCACTATAAAAGCTACCACTAAAAAGCGATCCCGAACTGATTTCCTGCAACCCATGCATTTCGGCCAACTAATGGTCACGCTGGTTATAACACATGTCATCGTTTCCCAGTTGTGTAGATCGATGTTTGTGGTGTCACTCACTGGATTGTCTAATCCAGACTCAACTCTTTACGGGCCGCCCCGTTTGGTTCTATATTTTGGCAGCGTGCGGCGTTAAACAACAGCCAAACAAATTAGCATTATGGTAATAGTGACAGGACACCATTTGGCCAGTCATCGTGAGTTCGAATCCCTGAGTTACAATTTTTAGTTTTGACTTGCCAGCACCATACCTAGGTTTCAATAAGATGACAAAAACCTGCATCACTACATCACATCACGGTTTTACCCGCAAAACGCTCTGTGGCGCATTGACCACAATGAAACCGAAATATAATTGCATGGATAATATAGCATGTTGCAGAAACAGCATGAAGAACAACAAATACATCATCATCATCATCATCATCATCATCATCATCATCCCCGAGACACCAGAACGCGTCAGACGTGACACAGAATTAGTAATACACGTGTCACAGTAAAAACATTTCAACTTGACTTCAAACAGGAGTATCTAGACTTGATTATTTACAGACTTCCGCCATATAGCTGGAATATTGCTGGGTGCGGTGTAAAACTAAACTGACTCACTCACTCAAACAGGAGTAACACCTGGTGTCCTCGCTGTTCCATAATGATTCATCAACACACTATCGGGATATTGTCGGAATCTTACAATTGACTTTGTTAGAGATTTCTTAACGTTATGGAAAGGATTTGGTCGCTCGTATTTATGTTTCATGACAATGCAAAGCCAGGAATTATTTTTTTCATTTCCCAATTAAATGCTCAAGAACGTTGTTTCCATCTCCACACCGAGAAACTTTCATCCTATTATACTTTGATGTGAAGAGACGGCAGAACATCTATGAAAGAAATGACTTGCGTTCAATATCTATTTATCTGAAGACATTGATCTAATGCAGCTCAATTAGTTGCTTTACCAGAATAATAAAATACTAAACTTCACAAGATATATTGCACTGACCAGTTACCCAGCTAGAAAGGCGTATACCGTTGACCAGTTGCCCAGCTAGCAAGAGCTAAACAACTACCCACTTGTCCAAAACGTTAAAGAAAACCCCCACCACGCACATGATTAGTAACAACTATAAACTACCCACTTGTCCTCGAAGTTACAGGAAAACCACCAAGGACATTCTCATTTAGTAACAGCTATACAACTACCCACTTGTCCAAAACGTTACAGGAAATCACCACGGATATTCTCATCTAGCAAAACATGAATCAATTTCCTGTACTGATATAAAAGGCCAAAACTACTTGGTCATCTAGTTAGAGCTATATGTCCCAGTGACCAGATGACCGATGTTGGTCATTGCGATAAAGGGATAAACACTACACGATCAATGCAGAGGATTAATAACTGGATTACCAGGGTACTTTCATAATCGACATTCTAACCAGAGCTAATGTTCCGCCTTCCGAACGCTAAATCCAAACCAAGAAACAGAGACATTTATTGGAGTCGCCTAACTGAAACCATGAAACAATAAATAATTCAGTATCTTGAAGAATTTGAAGATCTGCTCAACTATTTCTAATAGCACAAGATAACTTCACAACAATTCAATGTACGAGGAAACCTTAAATATCTGGACAGCACCGACCGAGAAATACGTCCGGATAAAGAAGTGTACGGATTGACGCAACAATGGTGACAATGATGTCCTATATTCCTACATAATGACCTTCACAACAGTTATCGACCAAAAGGAGTATCCAAACAAACGGGTGCGAAATTACGAGGTCGAACGGCATAGACATGACAACAGAGGTCACGAGTAATATTGTGAGTGAGGATGGTTTTACGCCGCTTCCAGAATATCACGGCGGGGGACACCAGATATGGGCATCGCACATTGAACCAATATTGGGAATCGAACCCGGCTCTTCAGCGTGACATTAGTCACTAGGCTACCCAACCGCCCCTGTAAAATTATGAGAACTGGAATTATGCTTTATTTATGAACAGAATTAGCTTTGTTTTCTTTGCCATCTCTAACTCCCGTTTACATATGACATTTCCTGAGGTATACAATTTCAGGATTAAATACCACACGTCTCATGACAAATGCCACACGGACTTCTGATGGCGTGAGACCATTTCATACACACTTCATTAGGTAGATAAGCTACGAGGCTCAGATTCATCGCAGTCAAGTGTCATTTCTTATATCGGATCACGTTGTGTGTACGTGAACTGTACAGACAACCATACATCTCTCTCATTTATTAAATAAATATATACAAATAATAGATGAACAAAATTGAAATATATACTGGCAGATGCAAGCTTCAAAAGGGGTAAAAACGGATAATATTGTTAAAAAATCGTTTTCATTAAAATCATTTAGATTAAAATAACAATATTATGCGAATTCCATACGACGTTGTGTGAAACATATGAGAAGGCAACAACTGATGTAGTTAAAACGAATCTTCCTGAAGCGTCGGTAGAGGCTGCTAGAACATATTTTGTATGTAGATAATCTTCCTCGGTGTTCTTACCACTGGTGGATTATGTGGAATGGGGTACATTGAGGACATGGCACGTATTTCGTTGGCCTCCCCTTTATCAGAAAGTATACACGTCAATTTCGTCATTGGCAATTCATTGTCGTGATTTGGGTATATGTGCACCCGTCCCTGTTTATATGTTCCGGGGTCAATACCATCGATCTGTCCATTCAGTTTGACAGCTGGTGAGGTTACATGTATTCCACGTTACAAACATCACGTCTTTCGGAGACTCTTTTCCTTGAAGAAAAGCAGTGCACAGACAGAAAAATGAAAAGATGTTTCAAACTGTACCAAAGCAATGTCAACTAAATATTTTTATCGGCGGTTATTTTTTGTCCAAACCCTTAACTCACCCTCTGCAATATAATAACATGATGATGATATTTCTCAATACGTATTTGGGAACACAGTGAGGACAGTTCCTTCATCACACCAGTGTTGATAGAAACACCCTCCCACATATGGGAAACGACAACTGGTGCAAACAAGCACCCGTCATATGGTAACTATCATAACATCTTACCTGCCATGCTCCCGGGCGGGTGGAATTGCCCCAAAATACACCCTTAGTTCTTGAACACCCGAGAAGACATATCTACATCGTTCTTCATTGCTCCAGGGACTCCGGGTGGCTCCAGGTGGCTCCAGGTAAGCTCCAAGTGACAGCCTCCGTCTTCGATAAAGCGTTGTTGATCTCGCTTTCCACGCGCAAGCGGCTCCGCTAGCAGACGACACAGTTTCTGCGCATGTCACATCAGCTTCGATTTTCCGACGTGAGCGATAGCTGAACGAAAAGCTATCGGCTGTGATTGTCATCACCGTTATCAGGCGAAGGGATACGGGCTTTGTTCCATGGATTTAATATCGCAGTGGTGGTTATAAGCGAGACGTCCAGATTGGGTCAGTTTGTTTCAATATCGATGTGTCTGGACGTTGAAGCTCACCTGGTGTCTGACCTCGACTAGCGTGGTAGAGTGACAGTAATTAGACACCTCTTCTGTGTGGAATAACAGCCGACTCACTGTTTACCTTCGGCAATCATTACACGTACTGCGGATTGATTGCAAAAAGTGTCATGAAACATGTGGTTCTCCGTTTGAAGGGTCAGTTCAAATAAAGATTAAATAACTTGTTTTCGCATTGAGGAAGTATTTTTGTTTAGCTGTATTTCTTCACCTGACTATATGAAGAGACACAAACAGACAGGAAGCAACTTTCTGAGCGGAAATTAATCGTATATGTTATCATTATTCGATAGTGTTCACCTAATTATGAACAGTTTGAATTCAAAGGAAATTCTTTTGTCGCTGTTGTTCAAACATGTTGACAATTGTGATTAGGCGACAGAAAGCGGCCCAGGATTCAGGATTGTTTCATTTTACAAATATGTCTCTATCCATCCATCCATCTGTCCATCCATCCATCTGGCCATCCACCACCCACGCACCATCCATCCATCCATCCACCACCCACTCATCCTTCCATCCATCCATCCTTCAATCCATCCACCCACTCATCCATCCATCCATCCACTCATCCTTCCCACTCCATCCACCCCACTCATCCACCCACTCATCCATCCACCCACTCATCCACCCACTCATCCATCCACCCACTCATCCTTCCACCCACTCATCCTCATCCACTCATCCTCCACTCCATCCATCCATCCACCCACTCCCCACCCATCCATCCATCCATTCACCCACCCATCATTCATCATCCATCCATCCATCATCCATCCATCATCCACCCACCCATCCACCCGTTCACCCATCCGTCTGTCAGTCCATCATCCATCATCCGAACACTTCCGGATCCGTTTCACTGTCTACCGACGGACAGTCCGGATGTGCAGGTCACCTACCAGGTCACATCATACCGCGCAAAATCTGTTACTCCGAACACCTGTCACATGTCAATTACGTGTACATCACACACATCATCACTTATCCCGCAAATATATTTGAAAGAAGAACATTGTCTTAACTGTCACAGTGAAACCACAGTCCGGATTATAGAGGGTTCACTCCAGAGATACACACAACATGTAGTAAACAACCATTCTTGAATAAATAGCTCGTTGCTCCCAACATTGCTCCCACCATTATGTTCTCAGTGGCCAGATCAACGGCGCCCACATCACACCGACATAATCTATTCATAAAGAGGAATGTCAGTGTGCTAGAGTCCCCAGTGCTGAAACTGATAGATGAGCCAGTGCGGAAGTAAACTGGGGTGCTTCTTATGTAACGACGTTGTACGTGCGCTGCACAACACAATTATTAGGGTCATGCCTCGAATTTACCCTGAATACCATGACTATTATGTAAACACAGCTGTGTCTCCATTGATATCTGACTCATTCATCATTGGCCTGTACATTCGGAATACAGACAACCAAAGAAATCGACGTATAGCATGTCATTACAAATCAGTGCATGTTATCACACATCAGTACACGTCATCACACACTGATCACGCATGACATCACACATTATGTGCACATCATACATTAGTGCACGTTGTCACACACACACATCATCATCATCATCACGCACACACACACATGTCATCACACACCAATGCATGACATCATACATTAGTGCACGTCGTCACACACATCATCATCATCACGCACACACACATGTCATCACACACCAATGCATGACATAATACATTAGTGCACGTCGTCACACACACACATCACATCATCACGCACACACACACACGTCATCACACACCAATGCATGACATCATACATTAGTGCACGTCGTCACACACACACATCATCATCACGCACACACACGTCATCACACACTGATGCATGACATCATACATTAGTGCACGTCGTCACACACACATCATCATCACGCACACACACGTCATCAAACACTGATGCATGACATCATATATTAGTGCATGTCGTCACACACACATCATCATCACGCACACACACACGTCATCACACACTGATGCATGACATCACACATCAGTGCATGTCGTCACACACATCATCATCAGCACACACACACGTCATCACACACCAATGCATGACATCATACATTAGTGCACGTCGTCACACACACACATCATCATCATCACGCACACACACATGTCATCACACACCAATGCATGACACCATATATTAGTGCACGTCGTCACACACACATCATCACATCATCATCACGCACACACACATGTCATCACACACTGATGCATGACATCATACATTAGTGCACGTCGTCACACACACATCATCATCATCACGCACACACATGTCATCACACTCTGATGCATGAGATCACACATCAGTGCATGTCGTCACACACACACACACACACATACGTGTCGTCACGCACACATTCATGTCAAGACATGACAAGAATTTTATTGTATTCAAGGCCTCCCGCCCACATTAAATTTACAGAGTTATACATAAGTATTTTTACAAGTCAGTTTTAACTAATTTTTCAGCAATTCATCTCTTAACTTACTGGAGTGTTGCATTGCAAGAACAAACATAATTGTGATGAACAGCTACATCGGTTTTTTTACAGATTATACACTGGTATATATTTCTGTCTAATGTCAGAATACGATTCACAGATAAAAGTTAATTGAATTTCGTTTTCTACGGCTTCTTTGCATGATGGACAGATTCTTTGATTCCTCTCAGTGGACATTTTTCTTCCTTCATTTACCATCAAATTTAGCAAACCTAGTCTAAATTGTATTAACCTTAAATAGTTGCATGTAAGTACAGATAAATATTTTTCTGGTTGTAGTAAAGTTTCAAATGTCCTATAACTATCATAGCGTGTGATATTATTCAAACTTGATTACCATTCCTGGTGAAACATATTAATAGCTCGATTACGAAAATCATTAATAAAAACATCAATATGACCAACAGTTTGGTTTAACCAGACATACCCATAACCGTGAGAAAATAATAAATATCTTATGCTTGATGCCCAAGTTACTTTGCCAATACTATCTAAGTGAACCAACATATTATAGGACAGTTTTGGAATGCGATGGTTAGGCATGTTACGAATTTTAAGCCAGTATTTTAAACATCTTATCTGTGAATCTATGTAAAGTGGGTATCTCCCGCACTCCCCATATACCATAATATTCGGTGTTGACGATCCATCTCCCAAAAATCTTTTACATACATGTCATCACACACCTATGCATGACATCATACATTCGCTCGTCACGTCGAAGACCCGGGTTCGATTCCCCACATGGGCAGAATGTGTGAAGCCCATTTCTGGTGTCCCCCGCCGATTATTTTTCCAAAAATGGTTGTTACATTTCCAAAATCTGAGTTTGTTGTTTTGTGACATGTTAAAAAAGCGAGATGACGTTTCTTTCGCCCACGAGTTTACATACCATCACGCCTCTAGTGTATGTTTTCACACACAAATACATGTCATCACAGACCAATACATGACATCACACATGAGTGAGTCTACATCAGCCGAAGCGAATAATAGGGAAATACCATCGGAATAACTTCGATGGACCCTACTCCGGATAAAGCAAATAATACGGAAATAAACATTTACAGATCATATTCCGGGGAAATAGGGAAACAACCTCGACAGTGTCTACACCGGATTAAGTAAATGATAGGGAATTCGATGTAACTTTGATAGAGCCTACACCGGATGAAGCGAATAATAGGGAATTCAATGTAACTTTGATAGAGCCTACACCGGATTAAGCAAATAATAGGGAATTCGATGTAACTTTGATAGAGCCTACACCGGATGAAGCGAATAATAGGGAATTCGATGTATCTTTGATAGAGCCTACTCCGGATGAAGCGAATAATAGGGAATTCGATGTAACTTTGATAGAGCCTACACCGGATGAAGCGAATAATAGGGAATTCGATGTAACTTTGATAGAGTCTACACCGGATGAAGCGAATAATAGGGAATTCGATGTATCTTTGATAGAGTCTACACCGGATGAAGCGAATAATAGGGAATTCGATGTATCTTTGATAGAGCCTACTCCGGATGAAGCGAATAATAGGGAATTCGATGTAACTTTGATAGAGTCTACTCCAGATGAAGCGAATAATAGGGAATTCGATGTAACTTTGATAGAGTCTACTCCGGATGAAGCGAATAATAGGGAATTCGATGTAACTTTGATAGAGTCTACACCGGATGAAGCGAATAATAGGGAATTCGATGTATCTTTGATAGAGTCTACACCGGATGAAGCGAATAATAGGGAATTCGATGTAACTTTGATAGAGCCTACTCCGGATGAAGCGAATAATAGGGAATTCGATGTAACTTTGATAGAGCCTACACCGGATGAAGCGAATAATAGGGAATTTCAATGTAACTTTGATAGAGCCTACTGCGGATGAAGCGAAAAGTAGGAAATAATCGGTGCAGCTGGAGCTGAATAAGTGGAAATCTGCCCATAAGGCCATTCGTTTATGTATCATCTCCAACCACGAGCTAGTTACCGGGCGAAAAAATAAAACGAGTGTTTTAAATTAAAGTGTAACAGATTGCTTATTTTATTAAAATATACATTTGAGAACGCGTACTAATGTTTTTTTAAAAACATTTTCGATGTATATGGAGTCGCTTTACATTGGAATATGTTCTAATAAACTAGATGACGAAATGTCAAACTGACCTGGTTTTGTATAAAATTTCCCCAGCGGCGGGGACAACGGAGATAAGGAACCGTTTTAAAATTTTCACTTTGCAATGAGAATCAGGGCGGGCGTGAGAGGGGAAACAGAAAAACAGTCCACAGAGACAATAGACTCGAACGACATGCGTGTGACGAACAGGCTGTAGCTGTGTCGCATGGGGTTGACCACCAATTCGAGCAGTTGGATTGGGTAATCCTGGTCATCCCACTAGGTGAAAACGATC